ATATATATATATATGTATATACTTTTGTGTTTCTTTGATTCTATGTAAGATAAATGGATTGCTTCATTTTATTTCTTGTTTTGTTGGAAAAAATAAAATTAATGTCAAATATGTGGCCATTAGAGGGTGAGTGACAAGAGGTGATTAACCACCGGTCGTGGTTGGCGATAGACAAGATGTAGGTAGGAAAATGCGACCAACGACAGCCAGCGGTGGGCGGCGGTGGTGACTGGTGGTGACGGGTGACGAGTCTTTACAACAAATGTTATATTAGAAATTTGCTCAAATCTAATAAATTCTAAATACATTAAAAATGAACTAGAAAATAAATTACAAATGCATTATAATTTTACACTTCATTTAAAATCATCCCACAAAACACCCAAATTTCTGAAAATCTAAAAAAAAAAAATGCAGTGCACTCTTTTTACTACATACTAAATAGCCTCGCTCAAAACTATGCATTAAAATTATCATAATTTCATTCACTTCCTGCATGTTCCGAATATGTCTCACAAACAAATGTTTAAGATGTCATATCATTTAGAATAAATACTTTTGCAAATAAGAAAATAACATACAATTTGTTTCAGGAGAGGCTCCTAATTACCGTTCCAATCTTTTCTATAGGCAACTGTGTTAATCGAACGTTTTGATCTTAAAGCTATAAATCACATATTTTCCTGCTTGCTATGCTCACTAAATATTCTTCAAGCCAACAATCACTAACAGACACCGAACAAACATATTAACATTATGATCTGAATCGTTTGATACATAATCTTTATTGAAATAAAAAGCAGCAATTAGATAAATCACAGTAAATCTACTCTTCAGTAATTAAGAAACTTGTTGTTCATCAAGAAAAGGATAGTCTGTATACCCAACAACTGGATCTGGAGTACAGAAAGTAAACCTGTTATAATTATTCAGAACTGTTTTCAGCTCAAATCTTCTGGGCAAATCTGGATTGGCTAAGAACAGCCGCCCATAAGTCACTAAATCGGTATAACCCTCAGCCACCACCTTATTACCTTCATCTCTATCATATCCTCCTGCAGCAATAAAAGTACCATTGAAAGCCTTCCTCATTGGAAGCAAGCGGTGAGGAATCTGCCTTCTTCCATCAACAATTGACATCCTTGGCTCAACCACATGGCAATAGAGAATGCCATACTTGTTCAATGATTGCACCATGTAAAGCCCCAATTGTTCGGGATTTGAATCCCAACATTCCATGTAATCGGCGAAAGGTGACAGTCGAATGCCCACACGTTCGGCGCCGATCTCATCGGCGACTGCCTTGATGATTTCGAGGGTGAATCGACATCGATTTTCTATGCTTCCACCGTATTCATCGGTCCTATCATTTACATTATCCTTCATGAGTTGTTCTATCAAGTAACCATGCGCAGCATGCATCTCTACCCCATCAAAGCCTAGGAATAACATCGATGTATAAATATAAGAAAGCATATTCATATAAGGATAATGTCAAAATAGTTATCTGATTATTTTTAAGGAGGTCATTTTAGTCCAAGACGTATTTAGATACCGGCTTCAATGGCATTCCTTGCTGCAAGTCGGAAATCATTAACAACCAGAGGGATCTCTTCGATTGCCAGACGTCGTGGAATAGAATACTCGGCAATGGTGTCATCATGTTGTTTCTGGGGAGGAATTGGCCTATCAGTACTCGATATAGGAGCTTGTCCATTTGGTTGGTAACCTATAAAAACACAATCCATATAAAATTGATTTGATCTTAGAATATTCTCTTCAATACATGTATATCATAGTTTTTTTATGAGAAATCATTAGGTAGAAGCAGCTCAAAAATCTATCTGTGCACTAGTTCTGTAAGATGCAAGTTAATACTTTACCCGGGAGTTTAGAGAATTAAAGAAAAGAAAATAAGTTTTGCTTTGCTTGAATTCAAATGCATTTACTTATCTGACCCCAAACTTTATTTTTTATATTTATATCACCCAACTATTTCATCACATCATAAATAGCAATATAAGTTAAAATAATAAAATATACATTTTCATATGTAAGGTGACATATATGTAATAACAGAGGCTTAAGGTTAGATATGTAAAATATATAGGAATAAAATTGGTATGAATGTAATATTTCTAGTTATTATTATCAATCAAGAATTATCTCCTTCACCAGAGTTCAAGAATGTACCATAACTGGAGACTCTTCCAGCATGCCATAATTGGCAGAAGAAGATGCCACCCTTGTCATGCACTGCCTTAACAATGGGTTTCCAGGCCTCTACCTGTTCTTTGGTCCATATTCCTGGTGTGTTTGGGTACCTAAATTCATGCAAAAATAATAATAATAAAAATTTAGGGCCTTTATGACCAAAATTAAGTTAGATTTAAGTATCAATTTAAGGTAAATCCAGCCAAACACCAGAAATAAGTTGGATAAATCCAACGTTATGTATTCTGATAAATTGGTTTTCTATTTGTTTCAGCATGCAAGACTTTAAACTGTGCATGATGTAATTTATCAAATCAAGACATTGCTAAAACTCAAAAAAAGTTGTTAAATCTCCAAAAATTCTATTTAGCATGAATTAAGCTAAAAAATTGCATAAATCCCGCTATCAAATTACAGATTACAAATAACAGGAAATAAAATTACAAATTACCCTTGAGCTGTTTCAGAAACTCCTGCTGCTTCAGTTATTAAAAGACCTCCCTTGGTTGTCCTCTGAGAGTAATAGAGGATGGCATGAGGTTGGGGGACGTAACCAAAGGATCTTGACCTTGTTAATGGTGCCAGTACTATTCTGCAAAATTATTTACAGATAAAACAACAGAAAGATTTGAGCCAGAAGCTAAGCAGTAAGGCAAAGTGGAGTCAGGGGTGACCTGTGGGAGAGATGAAATTTTCCCATTATGTAGGGTTTGAGAAGTGGGATCTGCTCTTCTACTGCCATCGCTTTACTCTGCAAGCTCTGTTGGATCAAGAATTGAGGATTCACTAAAGATTTGTAGAAGATGAAAAAACACAGAAGGTGTAGATAGGCGTGAAATATCATCACAACATCAGCAACATTAGAAGAGAAACATAAGTTGCTCACTTGCTGTCCATGGCGATTGGCGTCGGCCATGACTGAAAAAGCAGAATATCCACTCGACAGTCGACAGCTACTTTAATGGCCAAAAAAAACGCCGTTATTTTGTCCGAAAAGTTGGGGGCAAAAAAGACAAATTTGATTCGTTTAATGATTTGTTTAATGTAATTTATTTGGATAAATTTGTTAATTTGGACTATTATCGATGTACACACACGAATGACTAAAGATTCATTAAATCAAATCAATGATATTCTCACATAATTTCAATTCTGAAATTATCCGAATATTCAAACTAAGAATTTTCAAAATTAATTTTGTGATCATATAAATTTTATTTTTTAAAAACTTATGATAGTGTAGATAAAAAAATATGTCAGAATTGATCTTAAAGAGATCTGATAGTTTAGAAAGGAAGAGCAGGATAAATGTTAGCCCACTGTTAGGAGATCGTATGAGAGGCATGAGCTACAAGGCAGACAAGAAGATGACTAAATGATCCAAATCTGAACCATTCGACTAGAAACGAGAACAAAAGTGAATCTGAGTCAACCATTACAGAAAAGTCGATCTGATGGGCATCTAGTTCCACAGTATCTCCAACCATCTTGTGGATGCCCCAGAAGCTCCTACTTAGAGATCAACGATCAACAGTCCTTTCATATTAGCCGACCGACCCATACCGACCAAGCTCAACCGAGAGAGTCAATCCTGTCAACTTGAAGCCAGATGAACTTAGTTGGCCAAGCTAGAAATTAGCTAGACAACAAATCTGTACATGTAAAATACAAGAAATATCCTATTACGAATAAATTTAAAGCAGTGACAAAAATGTAATATCATTATTATACCCTCTCTTCTATAAATAGATGAATTATTTTATAAATAAGACACGAAAAATTATTGTTCATTCTCTCTCTCTCTCTCTCTTTGTGTCTCTCTTTCTATCCTCATTATTTATATTATATTCATTTGGTGTGATTATGGAGCCCAAGAATATCATTAATATATTGATTCAAGTTCAAATGAACTCAGATCAAGTACTTTAAGAAAATATATAAATTTGAGGACCACCCAATTCTTATGTATATACATATCTAATACATATACTTTATTTTATTTTTTCATTTATAACATTCAAAATATCTCATAAAATATCTTTATTTTGACTTTTAAAAAGAGAGATAAGGTGATATGAATGGAAATTTTGAATTTTAGGTAGTAGATATGTTAATACATAAGAGTTGAGCGGAATGTATGTAAATCTTGAAATTTTTGAGATTGACGCGTGCAAGAAAATTTGAGTAGAGTGATCAATTATTGTCTTGGTGTCGCATGAGATCCCAACACGCACTAAGATAATAGAAAATGATAGGCAAACATACCAGAAGATTTTTACGTGGAAAACTCGGAAAGAGAAAAAATCACGGAGTTTGACCAAGTGAAAAAATCTACTATAAATTGGTAATTACAGATATAATCCTTTGTTCCACGGGCGGGAAAGAAAAACACAGTCTCCCAAGATACCAAACACGCACAAATACAGAGTATAGAGGATCACAACGGGGAGTGATAGTTAAGGCTTCAATACATAGTCCTCAGGGTTTGTGTGACGTCCGTGATGATATGTCGATTCGTAGGTTATTTTGTACGGTGTTTTGTTGCAGTGGTGATTGAGGAAGACTGACGAGTAGTGGTCGACAGTGGTTGGCGGATATAGGTGCAGGAGGCGTTCGTCGATTCATTGGTGTAGAAATGATGCCAGATTTCAACCCCTTCCTCGAGCTTCAATCTTCTTCAGAATTCAAGCTCCACGTCCCCTCTCATGAGGGGGGTAGAGCTCTATTTATAGAGTCTCGTTTGCATTTAAGGAAGGAATCCAAATTATCATGCTAAGGCGGTCCAGAGAGATTCCCTCGCCCAGACGACGTTTTAGACATTTGAGTGTCTTAACGATATTAAAATTTAGCAATGTTAAGCTCGTTGAATTCATCTTGTCGAGATGATCGATTCTACTATGAGTTCGTCAAAATTGAAATTGTTGACCTTCCAAATATACTCAAAAAGCTTCCAAAAGTGATTTAATGGCTCAATCTGAGCTTGAATTAACTCGGATTTGATCAATTTTTGGTATTGTTGGATCCGTCGTCTAGAGCTGGTCAGTCAGTTTGACTATAAGTTTGCTAAAATTGAAGTTATAGATGACTTTTAATTGAAGTTTGAATATTTCTTGCTCAAAAAAGTTACCTCCAGATCAGTGTTATGCCTTGAAATTTGTGTCGATTAGTGACAATTTATTGTAGATGTATCAGTTGCCCCTATTTCCGGAAGAGACCAACTTCATCACAAAATATTGAAATTTGAACCACTCTAAATAATATAAAAATAGTGAATCGCCCTTTATAATTATTATCTTTTTATATATATAATTTTTATATTTTTTTTATTTTTAATTTTAACCCATTCTATGTTCTTCTAATTTATCAGTTCACTAACACATCAATAATGAGATTCCTTATTATTAAATTGGGATGTGGATGGGTTGACAGAAATATTTAAGTTAGTGGTATATAATATCTTAATTTGATTTACTTCTTAAAATATCAGACTTGATATTTATAGAAAATTTCTCGAACTTTCATAAGCGATTGTTGATACCAGCTGGTAGACGCAGTCAACGGGCAGTTCTGGTCTGTAGAAGACGATTAACGGGCAGTTCTAGTTTGTGGAAGACAATGAGCACCCAACTATGGAAAATCTTTCTTATTTAAATGTTTTTAATTTTTATAGCTGACATTAAGAAAATATAAAAAAAAAAAGGTATTTTTAAGAGATAATTTATGATTCAAACCCTTTTTTTATTTATAACTGAAAATCATTTTTTCCTATTTATAATAGAAAATATTTTTTTTTTCATTTATGATGAAATCTATTAATTTTTTTATTTAATGCATGTCATAAATGTGGGTATCTTTTGAGCCTATCAATTAGCCAATGGGGGGTGGAGATATAGTTCCCTCGGTTTGCAAGGTGGTGAATAATATGATTTTCTAGAAGAAGAAAGACGTCCCCGACCCACATAGCAGACGATCCACCATATCTTATTTAGTGTTGCGGTGTAGAAGAAAATCATTCATGTCCTGCATAGAATAAGATCGACCGAGTTGTTGGAATCGATTTTTGATGTCAAATGTTTTGGATACTTATCTAGAATGTTATGAGAGCATATAATGTTTATATGTAGCCTCTTATACTCAAAAAAACCATAAAAGCGTCCCATAAGTGTTTCTGGGAAAATCAAAGTTTAGGGTGATACACTCACATAGTGGTTTTGGGGCGCCAATTGACATTTAAAGTCTCTGATATAAGACCAATAAAATTGCCCATATTTGGAGTTATATGACCATATATTAGTCATACATAGTCTCCCATAACTTACGGATTGATAAAATCCCTCGTCGGACGCTTCCCGTGAAGATCAGGCTTACCGAACCAGACTGTCACCTAAGCACCTGTCTAGGCGCATAGACACCCGGAATAGCCCCTGTAAACCACGAAACCGAGCAACCGAAAATTCGGTCCTCAGTTCGGGCGCCTAAGCATCAGGCCCCAACGTTTTGTCGCCTGAAACAGCTCCCGAGTCCTACAAGATAGAAAGCCATCGCCTAGTCCTGGTGCCTAGGTGGTGTCAGCCCACTTTTAGATCCCAATTTTTTCTAGGGATCTCCGCTAAATCTAAATAAAAAAAAAACAATCGCAAAGCAGCCAAAAATGCATATTCTATAGAGAAGATATGCATGGGAAGAGGAGGAATGGCCATGTGAATAATTAGAGGACTCCTGTCGCATATCGAGATGCACCAGAATTCTCCTCAAATTATCCTACAAATTCATTCATAATCCTGCACATTTTGACAACACTAATACAATAAATAGCTCGTATTGTTTTTGTTGAATTTTAGAATAACTCAAAATAAAGTGGAATACTTAATTTTATTGATGCAAAGAGGGGTATAAATACATATTACAGAACTTACTGATAAAGAAAATAATAAAATAAGAATATAGTAGAAAAAAATGAATAATAATAAAATATAAGATTCAACTAATCTCTTTAATTAAGAAGAGAAATAAATAGAGATTCTCAAGATCCCTCATATAATTTATAACTCTTTAAATATACAGTTATAACAAATATGAAATATAATCATTAGTTTTGAGATCTTTCAACTCTCTCCCTCAAGTTGAACATAGTTTGAAAAACATATTCAACTTGAATTTGAATACATCGGCTGCGGTATGCTGACAAACAAGTAACATTAATTTGCCAACAAGAAACTCCAACAATCCTCAAACCGTAAGCGTCGAAGCCGAAGATCCCAAAGTCGAAAATGCCGAAGACTAAGAGTGTCGAAGCCTGAGAATGCCGAAGTCTGAGAGCGCCGAAGACTGAGGGCTCTTAAGCCTAGAACTGAGAGTGTCGAAGCCTGAGAGTAGCCGAAGCCTGAGAGTGGCCTGGACGAGGGCTAAGCTTAATTGATGAATTTGTAAATCATCGGTTGACTGATAATTGCATGAAAGCAACAAGAATGCTATAATAATGTTGCAGGAGAGATGCAGGAGAGATGCAGGAAAGTTACAAGGAGGCTGCAGGGAGGTTGCAAGAAGGCCGTAGAGAGCCAACGACAGTGCTCAGGAAAGCTGTAGTGCTCGGACAAGGCTGCATTAATGCTGCAGGAAAGACCGGTGCTTTCCTTGGGAAGAGCTGGCTAAAGTTTGCAGGGAAAAATTTGCTGAGGTAGATCTGATGGTGAGAAAAGCTGCATGAGGGAGGTCCGACGACGGGAAAGGCTGCAGGGGTGAGAACCGGCTGCAGGAGTAAGCCCGAAGATCTAGTCCGCAACAAATATGTCCGCAAGAAGTTCTGACGGCAGGAAAAGCCACAAGAGGGAATTTCAGTGGCAGGAAAACCATCAAGGGATAGTTTTGGCTGTAGGTAGGTGCTTCGACGGTCCTGGAAGGAAATCGGGAGGTCCGGTTGGAAACACAGCTCTCCCTGATGCTTGGGCAGGCAAGAAAAAATACTGCAGAAGAAATGGACAGCTTGTCCGATCCACGACAGCGATATCTCCGACGAGATGATGATGAGTGGTGTCAACCTGGATGGATCCCCATCACTGGTAAGTTTGTTTTCTGAGAGATCGAGATACTCGAGCTTTGGTCATGTTGCCGATCTTTAGGAATGTTGTCGGAGAGCAGATTTTGCTCAGGTTGAGCTTAAACAATAATCTCAATTTTCCTAATTCAGGCGGGATGGGCCCTGTCAACAAGTAGTTGGAAGCCAGGTTAAGATCTTGTAGCTTGCTGATTTCTCCAAGTTCGGCGGGAATTTCACCGGAGATGCTGTTCCATTCGTTGTGAAGGTAAATGAGGCTCCTGCATTGTCCCCAGTCAGGCGAGAGCGTGCCGGTTAACTGATTGCCAGTGAGATCCAGGCAATTGAGTATCGGATGAACGCCAAAGGACTGAGATATATCTCTGACGAATTTGGACGCGTTACGATAGGGTTTGAACTCGGATGACTTAGACTTCGATCGGAGACAGAGAAGGGACGCGAAGCGGACTGCGTGGAAGTTCTTGGGGTGGATGATCGAGGCGCCAGCGTCAAAGATATTTCCACCAATCGTGACTGTGGCTGTCCGCCCGCCGACGATACTTCGGCGTTCAAAGAGATGGATTTCAGTGGTGCAAGGAGATTTTGTTGAGCTGCAGCTGTATTGTTTGAGGAAATACGGGAACGAGGAACCCCGGATTCCAGCGCCAACTACGCATACCTGAGCGGAAGTGCCGACAGAAGGATCCGCCGTGGCGAGGAATAGCGGCCCAAGAAGAAAGAGCAGCAGAAGAAGACAAACAGAGGGTGAGAAAACCTTCCTCCCTTCCCGAAAGAAGATCGGGAAAGGAGTTTCACGGTTCTTCAACAAGGGTGATTAGGGCAAAAATTTTGGCTCTTATATCATATTGAAGTTTAGGATAATGAAGAATAAAGTGAAATGATTAATTTTATTGCTGCAAAGAGGGGTATAAATAACCATTACAAGACTTATTGGTAAGAAAAACAATAAAAATAGAATACAATAGAAATAAAAATAAATAATAACAAAATATAAGATGCAGCTAATCTCTCTAATTAATGAGAGAAATAAATAGATATTCCCAAGATTCCTCGTATAATTTATAATCCTCTAAATATAAATTATAACAAATATGTAATATAATCATTAGTTTCGAGATCTCTCAACAGTTTTGAAGAATTATCTTGCAAACTAATTAATAATATGATACATGACACATACTTATGCTTGAACTTACACAATTAGCATCAAGGGTTGCTTCTAATAACATCTTTCAAGCCTACTATTTGGATCAAATAGCAAGATTTAATTTCTATCAAAAGGTTTTCTATTCTTGCCAACGCTCACTATCCATTGCTCAAGACAACAATCATCAACAAACATTTTAAGAAATTATTAACTAAGATCTGATTTATAACCTTTACTGACAAAGAGAGAACAACTGGAGACTGATAACATTTTTTTCACTCACATTTCTTCCTCAAAAATCACAAAAATCCATTTTCTTATTCTAAATATTGAAAATATTATCATTCATCAAGAAAAGCATAATCTGTATAGCCAACAACAGGATCCGGCGTGTAGAAGGTCAATCTGTTGTATTTGTTGAGAGGAAAATTCAACTCAAATCTTCTTGGCAAATCTGGATTAGCTAAGAACAGCCGTCCAAAAGCCACTAAATCAGCATAACCCTCAGCCACCACCTTATTACCTTCATCTCTATCATATCCTCCGACAGCAATAAAAGTGCCATTGAAAACCTTTCTCATAGGAAGCAACCGGTGAGGAATCTGTCTTCTTCCATCAACAATAGACATTCTTGGCTCAACCATATGACAATATAGAATTCCATACTTATTCAATGATTGTACCATGTAAAGCCCCAATTGTTCGGGATTTGAGTCCCAACATTCCATGTAATCGGCAAAAGGAGAGAGCCGAATGCCCACGCGTTCGGCGCCGATCTCATCGGCGACCGCCTCGACGATTTCGAGGGCAAATCGACATCGATTTTCTAAGCTTCCGCCATATTCATCGGTCCTATCATTTACACTATCTTTCATGAATTGCTCTAATATGTAACCATGTGCACCATGGATCTCAACCCCATCAAAGCCTAGAAATAACATCAAAATATAGATATAAGAAAGCATACACATGAGAAAAGTGGGAAAATAGTCCCCTGACTCGTTGTAGGGGTAGTCCTGGAGTTTATAACGTGTGAATTTAGTCACTAAACTCTTTTAATATGGCTAAAATAGTCCCCACGCGAGACTACTCAAGCCCCGAGTTAAAGAAAATAGGGACTAATTTGACCCATTTAGTCAATAAACTCTTTTAATATGGGCTATGTATGTAAATTTTTATGTTTAAATACCAGCTTCAATTGCATTCCTTGCAGCAAGTCGGAAATCATTAACAATTAGGGGGATCTCTTCGGTCGCCAAGCGTCGTGGAGTAGAATACTCTTCCACAGAGTCATCATGCTGTACTTGAGGAGCGATAGGCCTATCGGTACTCGATATAGGTGCTTGCCCGTTTGGTTGGTAACCTATAAGACCACAATTCATATCAAATTGAGCAAATAACAGAAAATTTTCTACAATAGCATATTGATTCCACACAGACAAACGATTAGCTTAGAGGACCTCAAAAAATTTTCTTTTGCAATAGTTGTCTAATGCAAACTAATGAGGGAAAAGAAATAAATTTAAAAGAAAGTTTTACCTTCTCTTGATTTATCGTAATAAGACGAGGAGAAGGCAAATGATTATGGAAATGTTTTCTTCTATAAATCAAAATGTCTTTCTCTTCTATTTTGAAGCGAAACTATGGAGTTCAAAATATCTAGTCTAACATATCAAAAGGATTTCTTTCTTTTTCTTTCAACTCTCAATCAATTATAGAAAAATTCATTTTTTTTTTCTTTCTAAAACCTGCAAAAAGAATTCACATTTTTTGCTTTCACTTCATTTCTCTCATCAAAATCCTTTCTTTTGTTCCTCCAAATCCCAATCAGGGTATTAATATATAAAAAAAAAATTGCGCACAAGAATCATTAGTGTTCATCAACTGAGAATTATTTCCTTTACCATAATTAGAGACTCTTCCAACATGCCATATTTGGCAAAAAAAGATGCCACCCTTGTCATGCACTGCCTTAACAATAGGTTTCCAGGCCTCTACCTGTTCTCTGGTCCATATTCCCGGAGTGCTTGGGTACCTAAATTCACTCAAAATTACAAAATTTACAACAAATATTAAACTTAGATTTCTGTAAAAGAGTTTAAAGAAAAGAATCTCATACATATTAAACAACAGCAAATAAAAATTTGTTAATTACCCTTGAGCAGTATCAGAAACACCTGTTGCTTCAGTGATCAGAAGACCTCCCTTTGTTGTCCTCTGAGAGTAATAGATGATGGCATGAGGTTGTGGGACATTTCCATAGGATCTTGATCTTGTTAGCGGTGCCAGTACTATTCTGAAGATAATTTTACAAAATAACTCAATCGATTTCATCTAATTTGCAGGCATAGTAAAGTTCTTTACTAAACCAAAAATTTGATTGAGAAACTAAACCCTAACTACACCAACTGGATGCAAATTCTAATTCAACGGATTTAAGACTTGATCCTTCTGTAATGAATCTTATTTCAGTTTCTAATATCTCAAGATTCACAAAATCCCTACTCGTAGACGTCAATTGGAAGTAGGGCTAACCTGTGAGAGAGATGAAATTTGCCCATTTTGTAGGGTTTCAAAAGCGGGATCTGCTCTTCTTTTGCCATAGCTATACTCTCTCTCTCTCTCTCTCTCTCTCTCTCTCTCTCTCTCTCTCTCTCTCTCTCTCGTTCTCGCTCTCTCAAGTTCACCGAACTGAATTGAAATTTATAGAAGAGAAGCTAAAGCTGGTCTCCATGGCTACCTTCCAGGGTTGAAATTTGAGGTTTCTTCAGCATGACAGTTGGAAATTATTAATGGGGCATTTACATATATACCACACATTTTTTATATATTCAAACACGCAACATTAGAAGTGTAAAAGAACAGAGCCGTTAAACAATATCACTATTCTTAATTGATTTTTTTATATTTAAACACAAAAAATTTACATATATACCACACATTTGCTAATCAAGCCGAATACGAGCTGTTTGCGAAGAAAGAACCGTTTTGACAATTCTCATCATATAGTCGTAGTCTCCTAGAATATTAAGGGTTGGTTCGAAATATAAATTGTATTATTTATATTAAATTATCATTTAGATATACTTTAATACATATTATTATATTTTTAAATTAATAATTTTAATTGATTATAAATCCTCCTATGACTTTGCAATCAATTAAATTAATTTAAAATACTATTTTACATCTATATATATATATATATAGTTATTTATTGTGCAATAAAACAGACTTAATACGAACAATTTGCAAACAACGAGCTGTCCTGACAACCTATCGAACGACCAAAATAACTCTCTCTAAAAATTTTAAGATCAAATATCATTAATATTAATTTTCTTAAAATAAAATATTTTTTACATATGAATTTATACCACTAAGGTGTGGTAAATAAAAATACAATTTTTGAGTGCAAATGTATAAATACCTAAGAATTTTCGGGTGTGTTTGTAAATTTTATACTAATTTGTTCGCATGGCGTACATTCAGTTCCAACAATGAAGGAACCAGTCGCCAACTTCTGGGAGCCCAACATCAGCTCTTTATTAAAGAGCAGAAACACGCAATAACTGACATCATAAAATTTGACTTATTCACAAGATTTACATACACACCACCCAATTTTTATATATTTACATATCAAATTCCTAAATTTTATTTTTTTACATTTGTACCACCAAAATCGAAAGTACAATTATTTTAACTTTTAAAAATTAGAATACAAATTTTCATATATAAATAAGAATTGAGTGGCGTGTTCTTATATCTTCAATGATACAAACAAGGTGATATAAAAAGTTTTTAATTTTTATAATTTTATTAATATTTTTAGTTTTAATATTTAGGTTTAATTATTTTAAATCTAAGCACGGTGGGACCGTGCGATGCGTTACGCGGTTCGTGAACAAATAGTTACGCGAATACCCTTGAAATTGGTCTCGCTAAATTTCGATCCTCAGTCTCGCTCCCATTTGTTTCCTAGTGACTCGAGAAGGCCCGCCCCACTAGCCTTACCTCACTTTGGCGATCCTCGTCTCTGTTTTGCCACAGGTATCATCCTCGCAAAAATACACATACTTGAGAGCATGAATAACAAAGTCCAATTCTCCTATATTCGTATACTCATCCCTTCCCCTTCTCCTGCATTTCTTCGCCATTACTCTTCTCTTAACTTCTTCCTAAAAGTTATTTTTTCTCGTGGAGGGAAAGGGAATTATTGTTCTATTTCGCCATTTATATCGAGATGATGGAAAAAAAATTAGTTTTGTTTTACAATGAGTTCGGGCATATGCAAAAGATTCTTCCGCAGATTTCACTTATTTATGGAATAAAAGCAAGTTAATCTGATTTTTAAGGAAGATTTGCACACATACCAGTCAATTTGAATGTGTTCACATATATATAACACGAAAAACTTTATTTTTTTTGAATGTTGGACACCCTGCCTATGCTTGAATTGGTTTATTTCTCTTTTTAAAGGTTGGATAATGTTATTTTTTTGTGTATGAAAGATTTGGATGGTAGAAGTTCTAATGTTAGATACATGAACCGATAGTAATTGGCTTTTATGCATGTAAGTGCCCCTTTATGTTTGGATAGATTGGCATAACGGCTGATGTAAATGTTTTCTGACTCTATTTCTATAGTATGATTATGAGCATACCTTTTATTAAAGCTGTACGGGAGAGGAATTTGTATACAAGCTTCAACCATTGTTATTTTATTTGAAGTGAGTTTTGTGGGAATTGAGGTGTATGCTATATTATTCCTTTAAATATATATAGCTAACACCTAAAGTTTCATATTTACAGATCTAATAGTTTTGTGTGATGAAGCTATGCATAAGACGACGAATTTCACCTAAAAGTTACTGGCGGTGCTCCTAAAATGAGAGTTTTGTTGTTTCCTTTTACGTTGATGCTTCAGACTTGCGATATCCACAAGTTGATTTCGGGAATTTATATTGCATATGTGAATCTGTGGTACTTACGTGGTATGTGTGTAGATATGCGAATTTATGTTACACATTGATGAAAAAATATAATTTGATTATTTATTATGACTCAGTTAATGTCCACCTTTATCTCTTACATTACGTTGTTATGAGTGAAGAGAACTTGATAAATTATCAAATGATTTGTTTCGTATGAAGCACTTTCAGAACAGTGTTTTCTAAACATTTTAAATTGAACTGTGCTTACATACTTAAGGACATTACAATCATTATGTCAACCGACATCACTTTCAGAACTGTGTTTTTAAAAAGACAAACTATTTTTGAAACATCAGCTTTTAAACAATAGATTTACAACAACAGCTTCTAAAACCAGTTTTTCTACGGTTACAGTCGAAACAAACACACCCTAAGCATACAATTAAAAAATATTACAATAGCTCTTCTTACTTTAGGGGTATAAAAATCAAAGGATAAATTATCTTTTAATGAGATATTTATATTACTTTATAATAACTATCAGACAATTATTTTATAGAATAAAGTGTTAGCATGGTATCCAACTATTTTAAATTTAAGCTTTAATAATTATCAATGGAGACCACTTAAACCTCAATTTAACATATGAGGATTATTATGTCATTTCTATAAACTCTAATGTTAAAATGACACCATATAAATAATTAGGAATTATTTTCACAATTTACTTATATATATATATTATTTGTACAATGGTCCTAATTATATAATTAACTAATTAGATTTAAAAAATAATTCTCACCTAATTGGTTTTGATTTACCATTTGAGCGGGGATTCAATGAATGTGGACAATTTTTTTTTTTATTAAAAACGACGGCTGCAAAGCCAAACCTTTTAATTAAAAAAATATAATAATAATAATACTCAGTCTAAACGTCATTGGTGACGAACAAATGAACCAAGACATTAAATAAATAATTGAATCGGGTGAGAAGTTTTATTATGAACCAAAATTAAAATCTAACAAAATATTGATATAATTTAATTAATTGAATCAAAATTAAAACCAGTCTTAACAATTCGGTTATAAGCAAACCGGAATTTAGTTATTAATATGAGTTTTATTATAATTAAATATTAAGAATTACATATAAAAATCCCAAAGCAAAAATGCATTTTTAAAATTAAATGGATGTGTCGAGCACAAAAATAATAAAAGCTCGTCGCCCGTGAACAACTTGTTTGCTCATGTTCAATTTATTCGAGCAAACGAGTCAAATACAAATAATTTATTTAACAATACATAAACGAGATAAGCATCAATAAACTTTTATTTAATTTTATTAGCCTAATTTTGACTTGAATTAACTAAATAATCGAATAAATAATAATATTATAATATTTTATTTAGATTTTCATGTGGTGTTTAAAAAAATAATAAATTTAATTACTTTATAAATCATTGGAAGTAATTCCAAGTCGATGAGAAGCAAAAATTTACAAACTTGAATCAAGTCGAAAACGAATGTATTATCCCCAAGCTATTTTGAACACAAGCTTATTTCGAATCAAATGATCCAAAGCAAACAAGGGACAAACGTACATGTACCTGGAGATGAAAAATATTATGGAGGCCCATTAAAATTCATAAGCATGGGCACAAGAAATTGAATGTAGAACATAAAAGTGACTTCTATAAAATCTAATATTTAGCGGTGTTTTAGGAATCCAAGTGGAGACGTAGAGGATTTGATCGTTCGCCGACAGTGAGAATTATTCTACTATTTCTCTAATGTGACGGATATTTCTATTTTTAGGGAGTTCTATGCAAACCTCCCTGTGGCTGAAGACAATAGAATCATAGTTCAAGGAAAGTCAGTACCTTTTTGTCACCTGATACGTTATGTTTTTATGCAAATTATAATCTGATTGAAGCAGAGTTAGACGAGATTGTTAAGAAAACTCCAAATCATATTTATATCATGCATATGTAAGGCGACACTCACTTATTTAAGAACTAAGGGACATTAACATACATAACACACAGTTCTTGTGTATTTTAATATCCAACACCTAAACTTTCATACTTATTTTTATAACACTCAACTTTTTTAACAGGACATCAAAAAAAATTTTATGCATAAATTTATAAACCAAGGTGTTAAAGTATAAATATCAAATTTTAGGTGTTCGATGTGCAAATACATAATAATCATGCGGTATGCATGTAAGAATCCGTTTGGGGCAGCTTGTGTGTTTTAGGATAAGCCCGTGGGTCTGCCGCAGGGGTCGCTGCAGGAGGGGTCGCCCTGCGGCCTGCGTTTAGTGTAAAAACTCAAACGCAGTTTCGGATAAGCTAGCAAAACAAAACGCGCAAACCAAACGGTATGGCGGCGGCGTTTTGAAAACGCCGCCAGCACTTATAAGCTGCCCCAAACAGACAATGTCCCAAAACATAATTATTTATAGTGCCGGTACACTCCCCAAACAATATATACAAACAAAATGAAAATGAAAAAAAAATAAAATAAAAAATAACACAAGCAAATGAAGCACTTATATTTATTTATTTATTTTAAATTGTTTGTAATCCACACATTTTTTATATATTCAAACACGCAACATTAGAAGTGTAAAAGAACAGAGCCGTTAAACAATATCACTATTCTTAATTGATTTTTTTATATTTAAACACAAAAAATTTACATATATACCACACATTTGCTAATCAAGCCGAATACGAGCTGTTTGCGAAGAAAGAACCGTTTTGACAATTCTCATCATATAGTCGTAGTCTCCTAGAATATTAAGGGTTGGTTCGAAATATAAATCTTATTATTTATATTAAATTATCATTTAGATATACTTTAATACATATTATTATATTTTTAAATTAATAATTTTAATTGATTATAAATCCTCCTATGACTTTGCAATCAATTAAATTAATTTAAAATACTATTTTACATCTATATATATATATATATAGTTATTTATTGTGCAATAAAACAGACTTAATACGAACAATTTGCAAACAACGAGCTGTCCTGACAACCTATCGAACGACCAAAATAACTCTCTCTAAAAATTTTAAGATCAAATATCATTAATATTAATTTTCTTAAAATAAAATATTTTTTACATATGAATTTATACCACTAAGGTGTGGTAAATAAAAATACAATTTTTGAGTGCAAATGTATAAATACCTAAGAATTTTCGGGTGTGTTTGTAAATTTTATACTAATTTGTTCGCATGGCGTACATTCAGTTCCAACAATGAAGGAACCAGTCGCCAACTTCTGGGAGCCCAACATCAGCTCTTTATTAAAGAGCAGAAACACGCAATAACTGACATCATAAAATTTGACTTATTCACAAGATTTACATACACACCACCCAATTTTTATATATTTACATATCAAATTCCTAAATTTTATTTTTTTACATTTGTACCACCAAAATCTTTCATGTCGAATCAAAAGTACTATTATTTTAACTTTTAAAAATTAGAATACAAATTTTCATATATAAATAAGAATTGAGTGGCGTGTTCTTATATCTTCAATGATACAAACAAGGTGATATAAAAAGTTTTTAATTTTTATAATTTTATTAATATTTTTAGTTTTAATATTTAGGTTTAATTATTTTAAATCTAAGCACGGTGGGACCGTGCGATGCGTTACGCGGTTCGTGAACAAATAGTTACGCGAATACCCTTGAAATTGGTCTCGCTAAATTTCGATCCTCAGTCTCGCTCCCATTTGTTTCCTAGTGACTCGAGAAGGCCCGCCCCACTAGCCTTACCTCACTTTGGCGATCCTCGTCTCTGTTTTGCCACAGGTATCATCCTCGCAAAAATACACATACTTGAGAGCATGAATAACAAAGTCCAATTCTCCTATATTCGTATACTCATCCCTTCCCCTTCTCCTGCATTTCTTCGCCATTACTCTTCTCTTAACTTCTTCCTAAAAGTTATTTTTTCTCGTGGAGGGAAAGGGAATTATTGTTCTATTTCGCCATTTATATCGAGATGATGGAAAAAAATTAGTTTTGTTTTACAATGAGTTCGGGCATATGCAAAAGGTTCTTCTGCATATTTCACTTATTTATGGAATAAAAGCAAGTTAATCTGATTTTTAAGGAAGATTTGCACACATACCAGTCAATTTGAATGTGTTCACATATATATAACACGAAAAACTTTATTTTTTTTGAATGTTGGACACCCTGCCTATGCTTGAATTGGTTTATTTCTCTTTTTAAAGGTTGGATAATGTTATTTTTTTGTGTATGAAAGATTTGGGTGGTAGAAGTTCTAATGTTAGATACATGAACCGATAGTAATTGGCTTTTATGCATGTAAGTGCCCCTTTATGTTTGGATAGATTGGCATAACGGCTGATGTAAATGTTTTCTGACTCTATTTCTATAGTATGATTATGAGCATACCTTTTATTAAAGCTGTACGGGAGAGGAATTTGTATGCAAGCTTCAACCATTGTTATTTTATTTGAAGTGAGTTTTGTGGGAATTGAGGTGTATGCTATATTATTCCTTTAAATATACATAGCTAACACTTAAAGTTTCATATTTACAGATCTAATAGTTTTGTGTGATGAAGCTATGCATAAGACGACGAATTTCACCTAAAAGTTACTGGCGGTGCTCCTAAAATTAGAGTCTTGTTGTTTCCTTTTACGTTGATGCTTCACACTTGCGATATCCACAAGTTGATTTCGGGAATTTATATTGCATATGTGAATCTGTGGTACTTACGTGGTATGTGTGTAGATATGCGAATTTATGTTACACATTGATGAAAAAATATAATTTGATTATTTATTATGACTCAGTTAATGTCCACCTTTATCTCTTACATTACGTTGTTATGAGTGAAGAGAACTTGATAAATTATCAAATGATTTGTTTCGTATGAAGCACTTTCAGAACAGTGTTTTCTAAACATTTTAAATTGAACTGTGCTTACATACTTAGGGGCATTACAATCATTATGTCAACCGACATCACTTTCAGAACTATATTTTTAAAAAGACAAACTATTTTTGAAACATCAGCTTTTAAACAATAGATTTACAACAACAACTTCTAAAATCAGTTTTTCTACGGTTACAGTCGAAACAAACGCACCGTAAGTATACAATTAAAAAATATTACAATAGCTCTTCTTACTTTAGGGGTATAAAAATCAAAGGATAAATTATCTTTTAATGAGATATTTATATTACTTTATAATAACTATCAGACAATTATTTTATAGAATAAAGTGTTAGCATGGTATCCAACTATTTTAAATTTAAGCTTTAATAATTATCAATGGAGACCACTTAAACCTCAATTTAACATATGAGGATTATTATGTCATTTCTATAAACTCTAATGTTAAAATGACACCATATAAATAATTAGGAATTATTTTCACAATTTACTTATATATATATATTATTTGTACAATGGTCCTAATTATATAATTAACTAATTAGATTTAAAAAATAATTCTCACCTAATTGGTTTTGATTTACCATTTGAGCGGGGATTCAATGAATGTGGACAATTTTTTTTTTATTAAAAACGACGGCTGCAAAGCCAAACCTTTTAATTAAAAAAATATAATAATAATAATACTCAGTCTAAACGTCATTGGTGACGAACAAATGAACCAAGACATTAAATAAATAATTGAATCGGGTGAGAAGTTTTATTATGAACCAAAATTAAAATCTAACAAAATATTGATATAATTTAATTAATTGAATCAAAATTAAAACCAGTCTTAACAATTCGGTTATAAGCAAACCGGAATTTAGTTATTAATATGAGTTTTATTATAATTAAATATTAAGAATTACATATAAAAATCCCAAAGCAAAAATGCAATTTTAAAATTAAATGGATGTGCCGAGCACAAAAATAATAAAAGCTCATCGCCCGTGAACAACTTGTTTGCTCATGTTCAATTTATTCGAGCAAACGAGTCAAATACAAATAATTTATTTAACAATACATAAACGAGATAAGCATCAATAAACTTTTATTTAATTTTATTAGCCTAATTTTGACTTGAATTAACTAAATAATCGAATAAATAATAATATTATAATATTTTATTTAGATTTTCATGTGGTGTTTAAAAAAAATATTAAATTTAATTACTTTATAAATCATTCGAAGTAATTCCAAGTTGATGAGAAGCAAAAATTTACAAACTTGAATCGAGTCGAAAACGAATGTATTATCCCCAAGCCATTTTGAACACAAGCTTATTTCGAACCAAATGATCCAAAGCAAACAAGGGACAAACGTATATGTAGCTGGAGATGAAAAATATTATGGAGGCCCATTTAAATTCATAAGCATGGGCACAAGAAATTGAATGTAGAACATAAAAAGTGACTTCTATAAAATCTAATATTTAGCGGTGTTTTAGGAATCCAAGTGGAGACGTAGAGGATTTGATCGTTTGCCGACAGTGGGAATGATTCTACTATTTCTCTGTTGTGACCGTTATTTCTATTTTTAGGGAGTTCTATGCAAACCTCTCTGAGGCTGAAGACAATAGAATCATAGTTCAAGGAAAGTCGGTACCTTTTTCACCGGAGGTAATCAACTTGTTTTATAATTTGTCACCTGATACATTATGTTTTTATGCAAATTATAATCCGACTGAAGCAGAGTTACAAGAGATTGTTAAGAAAACTCCTAATCATATTTATATCATGCATATGTAAGGCGACACTCACTTATTTAAGAACTAAGGGACATTAACATACATAACACACAGTTCTTGTGTATTTTAATATCCAACACCTAAACTTTCATACTTATTTTTAGAACACTCAACTTTTTTAACAGGACATCAAAAAAAATTTTATGCATAAATTTATAAAACCAAGGTGTTAAAGTATAAATATCAAATTTTAGGTGTTCGATGTGCAAATACATAATAATCATGCGGTATGCATGTAAAGATCCGTTTGGAGCAGCTTGTGACGCGACCCGTTGTGAGGAGCCCGTGGGGCCGGCCGCAGGGGTCGACCCGCGGCCTGCGCTTAGTGTAAAAACTCAAACGCAGTCTCGAATATGCTAGCAAAACACGCGAACCGAACAGTACGGCGGCATTTTGAAAACGCCGCCCGCACTTATAAACTGCTCCAAACGGACCCTAAATGTCCCAAAACATAGTTATTTATAGTGCTGATACACTCCCCAAACAATATATACAAACAAAATGGAAATGAAAAAAAAATAAAATAAAAAATAAGACAAGCAAATGAAGCACTTTTATTTATTTATTTATTTTAAATTGTTTGTGGGAGATGAAGCTGTATTCTTATTCGGATAATTAATTAATTAATTAATTATAGAGAAAATATGGTGGATCACTGGTTCCCATGCTTTGGTCCACCCTCCAGCCCCCTCTTATCATCCCATCCTCGGACCCAAGGCTGGCCTGGTTCTGCACGAGTAGCAGGAGCTGCATAGGTCTTCAGATTTTCCAGCACTTCAGATTGGATAGAACTAAAAACCTGATATAGCAGTAGAAGGCCATATATAAGGTTAAATAATAATCAATACTTCAATGATTTTTGAAAAAAGCAATACTCCAATGATTTCTGGTAGGAAATAGCTTTTGAGATGGGTGCAACATATAAAAAAGAAAAATTTACATATGCAGCACACATTTCTTATGTATTTACACATCTCACACCAAAACTTTCATACTTACGTATGCATGAAAAGATATATTTGACTTTTTAAAAGTAATAATAATGTATGTAAAATGTAAATAGAAAGTGCAGGCGTGAGATATGTGAATACATAGGAATTTAGTGCTATGTATGTGCATGCCCTCTAAAAAATCAATCAAAATTATATTGCACTAATCTCAAAATACTCAACTGTATTGCTGTTTATAGCATCTGGTGGCTGTTCTTGGCCTGAGAGCCACTTCCACAGATCTGGGTTCTCCTGAAGAATTGACCACACATCAATATAAGGCTAATCAAACAAAATATATATATATATATATATATATATATATTAAAGGAATCGCCGCAGACTATTATATGAGCTCCAATCATCCCTCATGCGCTTAAGAATTCGAGTACTACACCCTACACTTGGGGGGATAGAACCCCAAACCAGAAGGGACTTACGAGTGACAAGCAGATGCCCGACCAACTGATCCGAGTATTCAGCACTAGATAAATATATATATATATATATATATATATATATATAAGTAGATAAACTAATCCGCATTAAACATAAAAATAAAGTTAATTTCTCAAAACAATCTCATTCCGTTTGGGACAATTGCAGCATTTTGTAAAGCTGATTGCAAGGCTATTGTGGAGAAAATAACTTTCTAAAAGTTATTTTGGGTACTATAAATATTATCTTTTTTTCAAATAAATAGGATATCCAGTTTCTTACAATTAGCGTGCTTTAGCATATTCTAGTTGTAAAATGTAGCTTTCTAACAAAGAAATTTCTAAAAAACAGTAAAAAAAATAGTAGAAAAATGAAAGTGTAATTGTAGATTGAAAAATGCTAGTCACATTTGAGCCAAACAAAACAAAAAAAAATTGTAGTCTGAAATAAGAGCAATAAAAAACAACCACCAAATAAGCACTTGGTGAGGCCAATAGTATAAAGTTTCTATCTTTTGCATGTGGGTAAATCATACTCGATTTCTTTTGTTTTATTCAGTACCCTAAAAATGTTTGCAGAAGTATTGTTTCTGCTTTCCTAACATACCACACACTTTAATGAAAATATTGCATTAAATCTGATTAATTAAAAATTATTATAATTTTTTCTAACCAAGGGAAACTTCGGCAATTAGATCATATAGTCTACCAATCATAACTGATTCTTCCGTCTGCTGCTAAGGAAAATTTGCAGACTGGACAGATCGTCTGGTTTCTTCAAATATTCAAAATAACGAACAAGAGAGAGAATATATAGCCGCTTGATAATGATAATGATGATGAAGTTTGCTAGAGAACAAAATGATTGGGAGATCTGAGAGTGGGAAAAGAGTGAAATGGCACAGTCTCATGGTACAGTCTCGTCCAAGGCTGATATAATAATTATTTTTTATTAGAATATTCCCCATATTCAACAGCCATTAAGCATAATACGAAGAAACACATCAACAGCCTCCAAGTTTTGGCTAAACAATTACATAAGCTGAATCAAGATGACAGTTGAAATGGGCATTTACATAGATACCACCTCATTCCTATGTATTTACATATCTAACACCTAAACTTTACTTTTTCTATTTACACCGTGCAAATCTTTCATATCATATTGGGTGATATGTATGCAAAAATTATGCTTTAGGAGCTAGTTATGTAAATGCAGATGAATTGAGTGATATGTATGTAAATCATCCTAGTTGAAATTCTAATAACTGAGGACTAGCGATACAACAAGAGAAGAATGGTACGAATGGGAATATAGGCAAGGGACAAGAAATTTTGAGGAATAGACTTCATGAGCTCATAAGCTGGATTTAACAAACAGTAAATTTACATGGCAATCAATCAATACTCAGCACTATCGAGGTTCCGACTGCTCCATATGAAAAGAGCATACGCATTGCATGTTGTTCAAATCAATGCAAAGTCCAAGAAGAGGTTGATGCATGCATCATTACCCCTTATTGCAAAGAGGTGGCTTCAATTTAGAATGAAGAAAAAAAAAAAAAAGAGTCATACATTGCATGCAGATAGTATCTATGTTTAATTTTAATTTGCTTGCATGTCACAAAAAAACAAATGAAATAATAGAATATAGTGAGTCATCCATAACTCAGAGAATATCAACCAAGGTTGTCAAAACTCCGTAAAAAAGGGGGGATTTTACATACATGGCACACGAAACATCCCTATTTACATATCTCACACTCAAAACTTCTAATTTACAAATAAGGCACCCAAATTACAACCTGTCTACTTTGCCATTAAACTTCTCCTCCATTTCAATTCCTAAAAAATTCTTTCTCCAATCAGCAAGAATAAGACTCTGTTTAGAGCAACTGCAGCATTTCAGTTTTTCAGCTGCAGCAGCGCTGCCCCAGAAAGTTACTGTGGGGAAGCAGCCGTGGAGAAGCTGGTTGTCTGTTTGGTGCAACTGTGTGAAAAAGCTGTGGGGCAGCTGTTTCTAGAGAAATGACCATACTGCCCCTGTTTGTTAAAACTGTTTATAAATTTATATGTTTATATATTAAATTGATTAATATATGTAAATATATGAAAGTAGTCATTATTATGGAATAAATTTAAGTATTTGGTATATATATAATTATTATGTAATTTTGAATAAGAAATTTAAACCTATATATATACATGTATGAATATTTCAATCCCCACAACCACATATTATAGCCTTAAAGATCATCGCAATACTAATGTGTCAGGATCATGGCATCACAAATACCATAATACCAATCCATAGTGAAAGAATGCGGGGTAAAAGGGTAAAAGTATCGGGGGGAAAGCGGGGCCGCAGAGTTAATCATGCGGCCCGCTTTCTCTCGGCTTCGTCGAAGTTGTGCCGCGAAGCTACAAACCAAACAGCGAACTTTACCAAATAGCCGCGGTAAATGACCGCGCCGCAGCCACCACGCCCTCCCAAACGAACCCTAAGTCACATGGATTCCCTTACTTCAAGAAGAAGAAAAAAGACACCACCGCCTGCAACAGTAGCAGCTCCCCTACACATGCCCATAGAGCACTGCTTTGCTGCATTGCTCTTTATAAGCTATTAGCAGGGGGAAAAAAAAAATCCTATTTCTTTTTCTGCAGATGGCCTGAATCACGGCTGCACAAGAATTTTTTAACCTTCATTTTCCTCCAAAGCCTTGCCAACGAGGCTCCAAACTCATGGCAAATCTTTAATCCTTGTTAGATAGAACTCTACTCTAGTCTTCTTGTTTGCCCGCCTTTGTTTGTTGTCTCATCGCCTTCCACACAGAAGTCATCCTCTACCTTTTTCAATTTGGGAGAGATTAGCTCTCCACATTGATTAATGGAACTGTTCTTGCAGATTGGAGAAGGAATTTTTTGCGAATTGAATAGAGAAGAGAAGTATAATGGTGAAGTAGACGGGCCGTAAATTGGGTGACTTATTTGTATATTAGAGCTTTGGAGTGTGAGATATGTAAATAGGGATGTTTTGGGTGTCATGTATGTACAATGCCCCGCACTACAACTTATATCTCATTTTGTCAGCCAATATTTTACAGAAGTAATAAAAAAAGCAGATTTCTTATAACAATTTGTCCCAAAATATATATGCAATTGTTACAATTATGCTACTGCAAAGCAAGTAACAAATGGAATCAACCGAAGCCTTAATTCGATTAGGCAATGAATGTGCAAAAGTGCCCTAGGGCTTCACTTGCCAGTTATGAGCCATAACTTAACCTAGAAAAAGTAGGGAAAGCTAACTAAATCTAAACTTCAGTATGTTTGCAAATTGAAATAGGGTATTATAGCCAAGAAAAAAAATGATACAATGATTATGGAAAGGTTAAACATCACATGTTCAAAACAGAATTAATGAAAAAGACTTTAATCTTAGTCGGTATTGGAATTCATTTCCAGGTACTTGCTTTCAGTTAATATGGGGATGAAATAAATTCTTGTAATTGGCTATGAAGTTTGTTTTTTACAGTGCATGAGGTATACTTTTCTTCTAACAGGAGTTTTATGTATGAGAATGAAGTATAACTAGTAATGTTTAAATTATATAAAATTATTTGAATAGGATTAACTGGAGCAAGTAATACTACGTTAAGTATTGGAGAGTAGCTTATAAAAGTACCCAATAATTATGCTTCCCGTGTTGGATAAAATAAGAAATCACAGCAGACTAACTATCATATATAAATTCAAGTATTGGATAAAATGAAGCCACTGATAATAAAATTGAATGTGACAAAAAATATTAAAATAGATGGATTGTAAAATTAAGAATGAGAGAGCAAGAATCATTGTAGTAGAAGGATATTGGACTATACTTATTGAAGATAATGCATTAATACATAAATTTAGGTGACTTGGCTCTTGGGCATGCACAATAAAGGGCAGAAGATGGAACAAACATGGAGAGTTGATGGAATAAATTGGAAAGAAAAATGAAGATCAAGGTAACACGCTTACAAGTTGTAAAAATTGCATAAGAAATAGATTAATTTTCGAATATAGAGGTCAATAAAAATACATGAATGAGACTTCATATGGTGAACCACAAATACAAGGAGAAGGTTAATTTTCCCAGGTGGAACCAAAGGCATCAATCCAGGGTACTAAAACTTATATGCACAAGAAAATTCTTGTGCATTGACGCTTTATTATATTCCTTTCATTGCCCTACTAGATCAGCAATGTAGCAGGACTTGAATGACTTTCATTCATTTGTTTTAATTTTGCCTCCTCTCTTTAGTAGGGGCAACTAAGATCCTATGAACCTTCCATATTAAAATCCTCAAGGCTTTTTATTTTTTTTATTTACATTCGTAGCACACAATTCTTATTTGTTTAGGTGTGAGATATGTAAATACATAAAAATAATGTGCTATGCATGTCAATACTCCTCTTTTTTTTACACAAGACCATTTGTCAATGTTTGGGTACAACTAAAAGCTATAAGTCTTATCAAATCAAGGAATAACAATATATTTATTTACACCAGCACAAATGATCACAAACGGAGAAAAGATAACGCTCAGCCCAATCTGTCAATGCCTTGAGCAAACTTAATCCTAACAAATTTATGCACATAAAATACTATTATATAGCTTAGTGAAGCTGATATCATCCTCTAGACTAAAGGGTTGTTTGATTTGTTGAAAAAGTGATGCAGTGTAAAATGAATATATTACAGAAGTAATGTATTTATATTTAAAAAAAATTAGAGTTGTTTGATTCACTGTAAAAATAAAGGCAAGACTTTTTTTTTTTTTTTTTGGTTTGAACTAGATGTAAAATAATATATTCCATAATATATATGGTATCATTGGTGGGTGGCCGGTGGCATCCGACTGCGCCGAACTACAATTAACTCCGATGGTTGGCTGCAACGGTAAGCGACGACAGCGGCCGCCGAAGTCCCCCCTTGTGGAG